TTTTTTTTGAGACAGGACCTTGCTGTGTAGTTCAGGCTGCCGTTGAACTCACTATGTAGACCAGGCTGGTCTCGAATTCGCAGTGATCCTCCTGCCTCAGCCTCCCAAGTGCTGGGATTACAGGGGTGCGCCACCACGCCTAGCAAATCCATGCTCATTTCGAAGATATTTTCTCTCTCCTCTCTTAAATTATATTGCCTCCAAAAACCCAAGTTTTGTGTAGAGATATAGAGGGCTTAAATCCCTCGTATGACATCCTGATTGTCCTCAAGATAAAAATCTCAAAGTCCTTAACCTGGCCTACAAGCCTTTCTAGTATCAGACGCATAGTCATTTTGCTAGTTTTTATTGCTTTCTTCTGTTCCTGTATTTTTTTTAAATCACTGAAGGTTTTGTTTCACTTGTTTTGTGTGGTGCCGGAGGTCAAACCCAGGGCCTTATGCATGTTGGACCACACTCTGCCGTGAGTTGCACCCTCAATCACTAAATTTTATTCATTCATCTTTCATTCATTCATTTTTGCAATCCTGGGTATTGAACACAGTGCCTTCACATTGAGCTACATCTCCAGCCCTTTTTTTTTAAACGATAGGGTCTCACTGAGTTGACCAGGCTGGGCTGGAACTTGTGCTCCTTCTGCCTCAGCCTCCCAGAAGACTGAGATTACAAGTGTGCACCACCATGCCCCACTGTCGCTGAACATTTGATTCTTCTTGTGTCACATTTTGTCTCACTCTTCCTTTCCAGAAATATTCTTATCTCTGGCTAACTCTTGTTCATCTCTTGAGTCTTAGCTTAGAAATCCCTATCTCCAGGCAAGTCTTCCCTGCCTATTCCTATTCTTGTCTGGACTACATATATCTCCACTGTGTATCCAATCCTAGCTCTCTGTATTTATCGTTGTAAGGTGTTTATTTGTTTAGTTTGTAAATTCACAAAGGCAGGAACCTTATCTGGCTTGATTATTCCTATTTACTCTAGCATAGTGACTGGTACATGATAGGTACTCAGTAATCACTTATTGGGGCTAGGTACGTAGCTCAGTGGTGTAGCACTTGCCCAGCAATCGTGAGGTCCTGTGTTTGATCCCCAGCACTGGGGAGAAAAAAAAATCTCTTGAATGAATGAGACACAGGAGAATTGAGGAGTCCTTCTAGCTCCTTTACAGCCCCCTATGACTAACTTCATGCAAAGGCTAAAGTCATTTCTCTTCCAACCTTTCTTAAGTTCCTTCTTGCTGCTTTCTTCTGGGTGCTCTGAAGTAGTGATGTTGGGGAGACCATCTAGGCAAATACAGTTATCCCTCGCCTTTGGGAATAGTTGAGAAAGTGGTCTCCCTTACCCCATAGACTCATATCTTGTTCTGGCCTCTGCATGCTTTATGTTGCAGCCATACTGAACTCTATCCATTCCTCCTGTGTGTCAAAACCTACCCTTGGAGTGCCCTTCAAGGGTACCTAGTCTGGTCTGGAGTAGGAAGACATGAAAAGGATGGGAATTTTGTTCTTCAAGCTGGGAATAAGGCCAGTGGAAGAAAGGAAGGTTCTTTAAAGTAGATCAGAGATGGTTTTTCCAAAAAGGTATTTCACATACCTTATATTCCATTGGTAGACTCTATTGAGCTTATTAAGTGCTATGTAAAGTGTTTTCATATGCTTTATTTTGTTCAGTTCAGTTCGAACCATTTTGTAGGCCTGCTCTCCGCCAGGCCTGGTGCTGAGGCACCAGGCTAAAACAAGCTCACAGTCTGTTCTCAAAGAGCTTAGAGTCTTCTAGGGGAGACAAACATGTAAGTAGGCTATAATAGAATAGTTTGGTTGGTGCTATTTAAAATATAGGAACCTTATGTAATCATAGCTGTACTCTAAACCTTGTCTCTAGACGCCCGAGGATGTCAGCCTCAGGCCCTCAAGGCCATAACTGGGCTCGACAAGTAAGGAAGGAAGAGGAAGAAGAAGACCCACTGGACCAGCTCATTTCCCGCTCTGGTTGTGCTGCTGCGCACTTGGCAGTGCAGGAGTGCATGGCCGAGCACCAAGACTGGCGGCAGTGCCAGCCACAGGTACAGGCCTTCAGGGAGTGCATGAGCGAACAGCAGGCAAAGCGACGGGAGGAGCTGCAGAGAAGGAAAGAGCAAGCCAGTGCCCACCACTGAGACTGCATCACCTGCTCTAAGAGGATAGCACTGCGGAAATCAGCACCCAGAGAGATCATGGGAAGAAGAAAGCCCAAAGTATGAGCCAGGAGGTGTAAAACTTGCAAATAGTCTTTGGGACACATCAGGAGTTTGGACATGGCTGTCATAAAGACCTATCATATTTTAATGGTCAGCCATCCCACACCCTCACCCATCTTGTTCCACCCATATTTGCCATGGAAAATGAAGAGTGGTATAGGGTGTGTCCCCCCACCCCGCCACACTACCTCTTGGATCAGTGTGCCAAGTACTGAGATGATTGTAGGGGCATTTTAATTTTAGAAGTAAATTCACAATCTAAAGATCTAATCAGGTCTATCTCTTCAGTCATGGGTTTAACAACAGCAAGTGTTTCTGAGGCACTGTGTTAGAACTAATGTGAAGAATAATGTGATCTGTGCCTTCATATAGCTTAGGAGTCGACTTTGAGGGATTGAAATAAAACAACACTGGAACAACTAACTTAATTTCCAATAATGATAAGTGCCTTTATTGTTTGTCACCTATTCTGGATATTTCATCAGTTTAGTAGGAGAGAGAATGCAAACAGGAAAATTGTTTTTCAACAAACATTGAGTATATACAAAGTTAGCCTGAGCCAGGGAGATTCCTCAGTGGCACAAGTGCCTGCCTGGCAAGCGCAAGGTCCTGAGTTCAATTCCAGAAAAAAGCAAAAATGCAAAACAACACAGTTATCTTGCAGTAGCACATGCCTGAAATCTTAGCACTTTAGGAGACTAAAGCAGAAGGACCCCAAGTTCAAGTCTTACCTAAGCAATTTAGAGAGACCCTGTCTCAAAATAAATAAAATGAGCTGAAGAAGTAGGCCAGTGGTGGCAGCATACTACTGGTTTGATTCCCCAGTATGAAAAAACAAAAACAGATCTTCAGCTTTTGAAAAGTAGACAAGCTGTCAGCAAGATGGAGTTTATGTTCTTACATGATAACAGTTTGCCAGAGCTAAATAATAATGCCTCCTGTCAGGGTTATGTTCTGTTCATAATATTTGCCATCACATCTCACTTTTCTTCAAGGAAATCACCCATTCCTTTCTTGCATATCTCTGTAAGGCATCTGGGAGTGGGAAGCAGGTCGGGGGGTGTGACCCCTGCCATAGAAGCTAGAATGCTATGTCGTCATCATTGGTAACAAACATTTCTTTTGCACTTAGATATTAGAAGTTCACATCTGGAGCTCAATCTTGGAGCAGTTAGAAATGAGCTAGGGCACCAGGCATGGTGGCATACACCTGTAATCCCTGTACTTGGGAGGCTGAGGTGGGAGGATTGCTGAGGGTTTGAGGCCAGTCTGGACTACATAGCAAGAGCCTGTCTGAAGCAAAGAAAAACGAATAAAGTTCTGTTTCTAATTTGGAAAAAAAAAAAGTCCAAATCTGAAGTATAGTAGGCTCTGAAATCTGCTTTGAGTTTTGGGCTAGTATTTTAGGAAGAAGGAAAGGAAAGGGAGATGTGAGGAGTTTAAGGAACAATAAAATCCTGTTGGAGTTTAGAGGTGGCCAAGGAAATATGGCAAAGGTGTGTCTGTAAGGGTCCATGTGTGCTCAGTGCTGTGGTCATTGGAGAGGGCAAGCAGTGTGCACTGCCGCTGTCAGCAAGATTCAGATAAGAGAAAGGAGTTAGTCTAGTTGAACCTTTAAAAATGAAGTAGAGTTTACCCACTTAGAATAGAAAGGATGACCATCTGGAATAAAAAGCATCTAGAAATCAAGAAAAACACAGAAAAGTAAACACACTCCAAAATGTAGGAAAATGTGAATATGTACCAGAGGAGTCTAATGATAGTTTATTTATGTGGTACTGGGGATCAAACCCAGCTATTTAACAATTCTCATGCTTTAGCCTCCTGGGTAGCTAGAATTAGAGGCATGCAGCACAACACCAGATTCTGCTGACAGAAATTAAAAAGTATAATGACCAGTGTTGTTGGGGATAGGAAGAAATAGACAAATTCACACTAGTAGAAGGTTTATAATTAGTAAAACAGTCACTAAGTTGCGCAGGTTGGGCTCAAACTTGCAATCCTGCCTCAGCCTCCAAGAATGATAGGATTACAAGCATGTACCAACGTATTCAACTCTGTTTCTTCAGTTGAATAGGGGATATTTCTTCTTGGCCTACTAAAAAGATTACATGAGGAGCTGGGGGCGAGTAACTCAATGATACAGCACATGGAAGGCCCTGGGCTCAATCCAAAGCACCACAAAAAAGGGGAGGGGGAATGATTGTAAATAGGTAACAATAAAAAGTGTTAGCATTTATTGAATGATTTACTAGTGCTTTTTAGGCATTTAGTTCCAGCAATCCAGTTCCAGAGCCTATGCTCTTGATCCACATGATAAACTGCCTTAACTGTTACGCAGCTTGCTAGCTACATGACTTTGGGCAAGTCACTCTAATTAGCATCTCAGACTACTGTTTTCTTATCTGTGAAAACATACATACATTTTTTTTCTTAAAGCCTCAAATAAATAGACCTTCACAGGATTGTTGAAAGAATAAATATTGGCAACGAGATTAAAAAGTGACTTATAAAAACATAATAGCGTCTGAACAGTAGCTATTATGATCATTGTGTGCTAGTGACTGTCCTGAGTCGTATTACCTTACCTAATCCTCCCAACACAGCACCCAGTTCTTTGCAGAGGAGGAAATAAACATCAAACTGATGGTCTCAACTTTGCAGCCCATGGAGCTGGAGTTTAGGTGATCCACGTCTGTCCTTATACAATCTACATCCACTTCTGGCAGTTTCAGTGCCAGGAATAAGTAGAGAGACCTCTTGGCTAGGTGTCCCTCCTGGCTAGCCTTAGGACAGGCGCATAGTTCAGCTGTTCCCTGCAAGGTCTTTGTCCAGGGACTTGGCCTTATACTCACTAACTGCAAAGATGCACTGTAATGTGATTTACTAGATGAGTAAGAAGATCCCCCCCAACCCCCAGACTAAGTAAGACCTTGGGTTGCTGACTTTAGAAATCCAAAGGGAACTGGAGTGAGTCCAGATTGAAACCTTTTACTTACACTTTGTACACAATGCTAAGGATCCCTCTCTGCTTCAGCAAGGACTTAGAGCAGGCAAAGGAAGTAAAAGGGATTCTTCCCTTCTTAACAGTTACCATTTAAGGAATTTTCATTCTTCAAAGCCTGGGATTCTGTTTAAATTGCTAGCTGGTTGCTTAAAATGCCACGCCTGTGATCCCAGAACTCAGGAGGCTGAGGCACAAGGATCTCTGCAAGTTCAAGGGCAGCCTGTGCTACATAATGAATTCAAGGCCAGTTTGAACTACATAGTAAGACCCTGTCTCAAAAAAACAAAACAACCAAAAAAACAAAGAGCTAGGATGTCTGAGAATGAAAGTTATTTCATGTGAGTGTAACAGCTAAAGTCATTTCAGATTCTGCAGAACTGACATTTAGGGACAAAAACATCAAGAGATCAGAGTACAGTACAAATTAAATAAGCACAAAAAACGTGGGCACCAGGTGTGCCACACGCCTGTAATTCTAGTACTTGGGAGGCTGAGGCAGGAGGATCACCTCCCGTTTGAGGCCAGCCTAAGCTACACAGTGAGTTCAAGGCCTGCATAAACAACATAGTGAGACCCTGTCTCAAAAAACAAAACAAAACAAAAAACCACATTGATCATTTTTCCAGCAGGTACAATAATACACATGCACAATGTGTGTTCAGAGTGATTCCCTTCCTTAAGTACACTTTACATCCTAGAAACAGAGGGACTGGGGGGTTTCAGCATTGCCAGTGTCCAAATAGCCAATACACCCAGATTTCCTTTGTGACTAAAACATACCCCTTTAGACTCTATACCTGGCCACTTCTCAGGCTTCCAAGGTGGTAGAACAAAGGATCTTAAACCCAGAGGATAAAGGACTAAAACATGAAGCTGAGCAATCCACAGGACTTAACCTTAACTAGTAGGACTTAACTACTCAGGAGGAAAACTATGCATTTGACCCAGGCATTCTGTCCTAGCAATGAGCTACATAATTGAGCTACATAAAAATCCATTTCTAAAAATCTCAGTAATCTGCACTTAACCAGAAATTAAGTGACAGGGAACAGTCCCTGGCTCTGCCACTGACTAAATGGATGACCTTGGACAAGACTATTTTCTTCCTTGTGCCAGTTAACTCATGTATGAAATGAAGATTAAAATAGATTGTCCAAAAGGATAATAGAGCCAGCACTAAACCCAGCTCTCCTGATTCCCAATCCATAGACCTTCCCTCCTTTCTGTCCTGCTTAGACCTTGTGGTTTCAATCCTACAAAACTATTTGAGCCAAATTGGGGCATTTAAAACTAACAAAAGTATGCTGAAGGAACAAGTTACTGATACGTGTAATGAAATGGATAAATGAATGAAAGATGCAAAACATACTGTATGATTTTTTTCATTTAATGTAGTATAGACAGGCAAAACCAATCTATGGCAGTAGAAATGAGATTAGTGGGCTAGGCATGTAGCTCAGAGGTGGAGCACCTGCTTAGACAGTACAAGGCTATGGATTCACTCCCCAGTGCTCCCAAAAGAAAAAGAAAGGAAGGAAGAGAAAAGAGAGAGAATAGAGAAGAAACAAAGAAAGAGGGAAAGATTAGGGCTTGCTTCTCTGGGAGATGAATTAAAGAATCTGAGAAGCTGGACATGGCACCTGTCTGTAATTTCCCAGCATTCTAGGAAGTGGAGGTAGGAGGACCACAAATTCAAACCCAGCCTGGGCAACTTAACAGTTTAGTGAGACTCTGACTCAAAATAGGAAAACAAAAACAAGGGCTGGAGATATAGCCAGTATGAAGGTCCTGGGTTCAATGTGCAGTACCACAATAAATAAATAAACAAATAAATAAATGGAAGGCTGAGCACAGTGGTGTGTGCCTGTAGTCCCAGCTACTCAGGAGGCTGAAGCAGGAGAATTTTTTTCTTTTTTTGAGACTGTGTCTCACTTTGTAATGCAGGCTGGTCTTGAACTCACTATGAGCCCAAGCTGACCTTGAACTCCTGGTGATCCTCCTGCCTCGGCCTCCCTAGTGCCGGATTACAAGCATGCACCACCAAGCCCAGTTCAAGGAAGAATTTCAAGTTTGAGACCAGCATGTGCAATTTAGTGAGACCCTATCTCAAAATTTTAAAAAAGCCTGGGGATGTAGCTCATTGTGAAGCTACAATTCAATCCCCAGTACCACCAAAAAAACTAAAACAAACATACAAAATAACAAAACATAAGGAATTTGTTTCTGGGGTGATGGAAATATTCTCCATCTTGACAGAAGTGTGGGTTACATGAGTAGATGTGTTTTCAAAACAAATCAATTTCAAGTCTGTGTTTCACTATGTATAAATTATACCTCAAAAATGCTGAAGTTGTTTAGAAGGAAATTTAACATTTACTGAGCACTTGCTAGTCTGTAATTTACCTACATATCAAACTCTCAAAAAGGGATTACACCATTTTACAGATCAGAAAACCAAGGTTAAAAGAGCTTACTACAAAGAGGTACTTACTAGAGGCTTCAAAACACAAATGGAGTGGCCCAGACACAACCCAGGTTGTCTGCCTCCTTTCCTTATAATAGGCTGTCTCAAGAAAGAAGGGTATTTATTTTAAACCTGGAGCCAGGAAACTTGTGTTCCATTTGATTTCACTGCCATGTAATCTTAAGAAAGTCCATTTCCCCTTGAGCCTCACTCTAGAGAGCTAAATGAAGCTTATAATTGTTTTGTAACCCTGAGGTTCTAGCAATCAGACTATCTCCTGTTCCTTCTACCAGGATGAAGCATTAAGAGCAACTTACTAATCATGAGCAGTAAAAGCCCTTTGACTCCAATAAGCGGACAAATTATCAGCTAGGTCAGTGACACAAGAGCTCCATGGTAACAGAATCCAGCTACCTCCTATTGAAGTAAGCCACTCATCCCTCAGTGATGAAATGGAAAGGGACGGACTGAGGAATGGGAGATCTGAATCCTGCTGCCACTCTGCTGATAAGATGCCCTGTGATCTTGGGCAAAGTGTTGCTTTTGGCCTAAACCTACACTTGCTAATAGAGACAAACAGGCTGACTAGGTCTACGGTCTTTCAACTCCCTTATCTTGTCAATTTATGAACTCTTTCATACTGCTTCTACATATTGATAACAAGAAAAACTGGGCAACTAGAAGAGACTGATATGTTTTACAGGTTCCTAGAATCCATGTGACATCACTGATTACCCATGTGCTGAGAGGGTGACATTCGTATTTACTTCTATATCTTTATATCGTACACCCACACATACTTCACACTCATCCCTTAGCTTTTGGTCTGTTATCTTCCCTAAAGGAAACCCAGCAATGAGCAGTTCTGCAACAAAAATATAAGTCCTCACTAGAAAATTCAGCCCACACTCCCAGTGGGATTTACCTGGAAGTTCTGGCCTGCTGAGCCTTCCATCTGAATTCAGAGAAACATTTTAATTAAAGGCACCTGCTATCTTGATGGTCTCCCCTTAGTGTGTTACACCTTGGAAGGAAATCTCTCTTCTTATTTCCTTTGGAAACCAAATAAAAAAGCCAAAATAACTTAAGGACTGATGCTAACAAATTTTGGAAGAGTATGTGAAATGCTGAGATCCCTGCTAGGGGTACCCCAGACGAGAGAAGTAGCAAGGAAAAATTTGTGTTTTTATGGTACTAGAGATTGAACCTTGGACCTTTGCACCAAGCTAAATCCCCAGTCCATGTTTTATTTTTAATTTTGAGGCACAGTCTCACCAAGTTGCTGAACTGTCCAGGCTGGCTTGAACTTGGAATCCTTCTATCTGAGCTTCCCAGAGTGCCAGGAATACAGGTATAGGGGTTTGCTTTTTATTAGCTGAACCCAGGACAGTAGTGGTGAACCTATGGCATGCATGCCGTAATAGGCTGTTTGTATAGTTTTTTTTTCATGTCAGAAGGGTAATGTGCTGACATCATAACAAGGTTTGAGGGAGGCACATCTCATGCATATAGCATGAACACCCAGTCATCACACTCATGAACTGAAGGATCTGTTTGTATACTGAAAGCCCTAAAAGGTTTACCATCATTGCCTAGGAAGTCACTTCTTTTCTCCAAAAGCTGGGATATCAACAACCTCAAAGATAATTTGTATGAAGTACACAGTACAATAAGAAGTGAGATACAGACACAGATATCTCACAATAATTATGAGATACAGACACACAGATACTCACATGCACTCACACACATACTCATGCAGATACTTATTCACACATGAACACACCCTGAAAGACTGGTGAGAGGATTAATGTGTACCTAGAAGAAGGTCTAGCTCAATAAAGGATAACTGCTGGGCGTGGTGGCGCATGCCTGTGATCTCAACACTTGGCAGCAGAGGCAGGAGGATTGCTGTGGGTTTGAGGTCAGCCTGGGCTACATGGTGAGTTGAAGTCCACCCTGAACTACACAGAACCCTGTATCAAAAATAAAAAGAGGGGGGCTGGGGATTTAGCTCAGAAGCACAGTGCCTGCGTGGCAAGCTCAAGGTCGTGAGTTCAACTCCTGGTACCAGAAAAAAACAAAAAATAAACAAAAATAATAAAAAGAAAAAAGTAACTATTCTGCACAAAGGTATAACTGCATTAATGCTCAGAAAAGGACCTTAGTGGTCACCTAGATAAGCAGTTCTAAGAGGATGCAATCCTGGGCCAGATGCATCAACATCACCTGGGAACTTCTACTATGTAAATTCTAGAACCTTGCTTCATACTCATGAACTTGGCATACTAGGGGATAGAGTGTTGCAAAGTGTGCTTTAAATACCCCTCATCCCATCGATCCTGATGCTTGCTGAACTTTGAGACAATGACTTAGACAAGGACTTGATAAACTCGTTTCTACAAAGGGCCAAATGGTACTTTAGCATTTTAAAAACGTGTTTAAGCTTTACGGACTCTATTGTCTTTATATCATTAAAATAGTCATAGACAATGTTAGGTGAATAAACATGGCTTGATTTCAATAAATCTTTATTTACAAAAACAGAAAACAAGGATCTGAAACTAGGTATGAGGTAGGAGTTGTACAATATTGTGAATGTCCTAAATGCTACTGAGCTATTAATTTTAAAGTGGCTAATTTTGTGGTATATGAATTTCGCCTCAATAAACTATTGAAAAATCAAAAACCAGACAGTGGGTAGGATTTGGTTCATGGGCAATAGTGTACTGACCCTTGACCAAGATCAGCTTTTAATTCTTAAACTCATTCCAGGCAAACTTAATTAGCAGTTTTGTAACTTTTACACTACTTGCATAGTTACATCAAGCCACTCAGTAACCCACAGAGGAATTTATTTTACTGATTGGCAGTAAAATTTGTTTATTTTACTGATGGACAGATCTCAGTTCCTCTGGAGAGTCTTTTCACATACAGTCAAAATCTCCCTCTATATGGCTTTTATGCATAGAAAATGCTATGGTTTGGATATAATTTGAGTATGTTCCCAGGGGTTCATGTGCTAGAAATATAAACTTGGTTTCCATTGTGGCAAGGTTAGGAGGGGATAGACCCACCAAGTAGTACCTACTAGAAGATGCTTGGATCACAAGAGGCTTTGCCATGGGAAAAGATTAATGTAGTTCTCTCCCTCAAAAGGGGGTGATTATAAAAAAGAGAAAAACTAACTCTCAGTCTCTGGCTTCCTGTCATGCCATGTGATCACTCCCTCTCTCATGTGCTTCTACATGATGGCACCTGCTATATTATGACATAGGCAAGGGTGCCCTCACCTGAGCTAAGCTGATCTGGTGCTGTGCTCTTGGATCTACAGAACTGTAAGCTAAGTAGATCCCTTTTCTTTACAAAGAACTCAGATTTGGGTATTTCATTATAGTAACAGAAAACAGACTGATACAGAGAGTTTACTTATGCTGTGATCCCTGCTTGACTATAGTACTCCACGCCAGATTGCTTGAAAGGATGAGTGTACTGTAACAGAAGAAATACGGAACCGGGCATGTAATGCCAGCACCTGAGAGGCTGAGGCAGGAGGATTTAAAGTTCAAGGGTAGCAGGGCCGTGGTGGCACACGCCTGTAATCCCAGCACTCGGGAGGCTGAGGCAGGAGGATTGTTGCAAGTTCAAGACCAGCCTGGGCTACAAAGTGAGCTCAAGGCCAGCCTGAACTACATAGCGAGACCCTGTCTCAAAAAGACAAAAAAAAAAAACCCAAAAAAATAAAGTTCAAGGGTCTATTATACAAGAGACCCTATCCCAAAAAAATAAGTTCCTCCCCACAAAAAAGGAAAGGAAAAATAGAAGGGAACATGTTTTTGTGCTTAAGCATCAGCCAAATAGAAAACACAACCCTTTAATTAAAGAATTACTCCAGAAGATGGTCTTTCTCCCTCTAATACACACACACATACACACACACACACACACACACACACATGACCACCAGCATCACTACTACCAGCAGCAGCAGCAGCAGCAGCAGCATTTGCATCAGTCACAGATTTTTATTAGATTAGGCTCACTCCAGGTTATCTCAAAGGTAAGTGATAACAATTAGTAACAACCATGCCAGAGGAGAGGAAATATTCCTGTATGTAGGAAAAGGCAGAAATAAAACCTAAGGGCCAGGCTGTCTTCTGGCTTAAGTCTATCTACCCAGGAAGTTTTCTGCTTGGCAGTATCACCAGTGCCATCATGAAATGGTCTGCAAGAGCTAGTTCAACTTGGCCAACAATTCTTCTAGTTCTGGACGAGCTTTGAACCTTCCCTTGAAGTCCTCTTCAGTGTGCTAGGAAGAGGAAAAAGAAAGTAAGTGGGAATTACTACAGCGCTTCCATTACTACCTATAAATGCACAGCATCCAAAAGGCGCATTAGCAAGCTCTGGAGAGAATGATTCAGATTCAGCTAACTCTTACTGAGTATCTATTATGTCCCTAATTTGTATGAGGTACCAGGGATTCAAAGTTGAAGTAGACTTCCTCTTTGCCTTCAATGGACATAGAGCTTGGTATGAGCAGACATATAAAGGACCAATGGCAAGATGTTACAAGTGCCAGGTGTAGTGGTGCACACCTGTAATCTCAGCATTTGGGAGGCTGAGGCAAGAGGATTGCCATGGACTTGAGACCAGCCTGGGCTACACAGTGAGTTTAATGCCAGCCTCAACTAGAAAGTGAAACCCTGTCTCAAAAAAACAAAACAAAACAAACAAACAGGGCTGGGGATATAGCTCAGTGGCACAAGCACCTGCCTGGCAAGCACAAGGTCCTGAGTTTGATTCATGGTACAAAAAAACAAAGAAACAAAAAGATGGAATAAGTATCACAATAGAAGTTCTTTTTTCAAGGATAGGGATCAAACCTAGGACCTGCATGCTAAGAAAGCTTCCTATCAGCCATACCCCTAGCCTGAAGCATTCTTGCTTTAAAAAGTAAAAACTATCCTTTTATAATAGGAAATAATACAGAGTTTTTTTTTTTTCTTTTTGAGACAGGGTCTTACTATGCAGTTCAGACTGGTCTTGAACTCACTTTGTAGCCCAGGCTGGCCTTGAACTCACAACAATCCTGCCTCAGCCTCCCGAGTGCTGGGATTACAGGCGTGCACCACCATGCCCGGCTGAAATATTTTAAGTTAGCATGATCAACACATTTTCTCCCTGTACATAGAGCTATGTGAAACCCAAATAACCAGAGCTTGACAAGCATGGACTCATAAAGGAGCTGGATGAAGCAGTAATACCAGTGCAACATGATTTGATGGATCTGTGTCATAAGAAGGATAAGGTAACTGGGCAGGGATACTGAGCATTTTGGCTAAAGTTCCTGCTGTATTGCAGACTTTCCTTGCTTGTCAAAATCTCCAGGCTGCCATTGTTTACTGAATATATTCAGTCAGGCTACAGTTACACCTTAAAGGCCCAGGAAACTTTGTTCTCAAGTAATTTTTTAAATGTTCTGACTTATTGTACTGTATATAATTTTAAACTATGCTCTTCCTGCTATGCAACTACTTAAAAGGAGAGAATTTTAGTGTGTCATGGGCTCACCCCTAACGTCAACCTGCTGTGATGGAGGTCGGCTCCTGTGGTTCACAATAGCAAAGAAAAAAAAAGAATCAAGCATTCCTGATGTCTCAGAAAAGCCAGAATAATGACTACAGCACCACTAGACTGCATATCTTCCTTGATTATTATCTGGGCTAAACTATCCATGTTTCTTTACAATTCCTAAAGCCAGGCAGTCCAGATCTTTTTGTTTGCTTGTTTTTCCAGTGATAAGGATCGAACTGTGGGTCTTGGGCAAGGCAGGCAAGCTCTCTCAATGAGTTACCGCCCCACCCCCAAAGGCTCTTTTCCTTATTTTGAGCACAAGTAGGCCACCAGGGGACTGCTTCCCAAACCAGCACCTACCTCTCTTACTGACAATCTGACTCCTTCAGGAAGATTGCTCTGGAGTATTTCCAAGAAAATCTCTGCAAATGTAGCACTCAGACCGCTGATCTACAAAATGAAAGAAAATGCTCAAAGTGAGGGCACTGAACGCCAGGTGATTGGGCAGACATGGCCTGAGCTCAAATGCCATCTCCAGTAAAGTAAAGGATTACCATCCAAAGCTGTTTCCTGAGCCTGACTCCTACAGTATTTCTCTTGCCATTTCCCAAGCTGCTTTCTTGCTAAGATGGTTGCTAGCAATATATACTCACTTGTGTAACCAATGGATGTCATAACTAGAACAAGAAGTTATCAAGTCCAGGCTGACTTTCTGATGCAACTCTGAAGTGCTGTTTTCAAACCTTTTGCTGAAAATCCAGAGGTGAATCAGATGCATGGTAGTAAGGCATGCAGGATGTTACAAGCACCTACAAGAGAAACACCTACCAACCCAGTCAAGGGAGGATCAAAGAAAGCATCTAGAGAAGGTAACACCAGGTGGCCTTGAAGAAAAATAGGATTAAACTGGGAGAAGTCAACAGTAGTGTACAGAGTATTCAAATCAGAGGAAAGAGCACTCAGTAAAATGTGGAGGCATACAGTGTGAGGGAATTAAAACTAGTTCCTATGTGGTGGGAGTGAACCATATAAAAAAAGGAAGAGTGGGAGGAGAACTGTGTAGGCCTCTGAGTGTTAGAGTTCACACTTTCATTTTGGGAGACTGAAGTAGGAGGATCCCACATTCAAACCCAACCTGGGCAACTTAGGGAGCCCCTTTCTAAAAATAAAAAAAGGTTTGGGGATGCAGCTCAGTGCAAAGACCCTGGGTTAAATCCTCAGTACAGGAAAAAAGGAAAAAACAAAAAAAGAGTTCACACTACATGCTTCAGTGTAGCCAATAAGATTGACTGTGAGATACATGGTGAGTTGGTGGGTGGCACATGCCTACGATGCTGGCACTCTGGAAGACTGAATCAAGAGGATCACAAATTAGAGCCCAGCCTGGGCAACTAAGTGATTTAGTGAGACCCTGTCTCAAAATGTAAGATTTTTTAAAATGGCAGGGGCTATAGCTCAGTGTAAAGGCCCTGGGTTCAATCCCCAGTACAGTAAAAAAAAGAAAAAATATATCATATAAATAATTTAGTCCCATATCTAAAGAACCAAAAATTACTGAACACTTTATTTTTAAAATTAGCATATTTGATTTAAGGGGCAACTGTCAACATTCCTCTTATTACTATGCTGATGTTTCTTCAGTGGCTCTAATAGGGGTGATAATCATACAATGGAAAATTATTTGGCTATAAAATTATAGTATTAATTATGTACAATATGGATGAACCTTAAAAATACTTGGCCAAGTGAAAGAAGCCAGATACAAGAGACCATATACTATACAATTCCATTTAAATGAAATGCCCAGAAGAGGTAAATCCATAGAGACAAAGTAGATCAGGTATTGAGAGGTATTGGGGTGAAGGCCAAGAAAGAGAAGTAACTGCTAATGGATTCAGTGTTTCTTTTTGGGGTGATGAAAATGTTCTAAACTGATTTAATGGTGTTTGTACAACTTCTTTTTTTGAGACAGAGTCTCCTTGTGTACCCCAAACTGCCTTTGAATATGCAGCGGTTGTTCTGTCTCAGCCACCTAAATGCTGGGATTACAGCTGTGCACCACCACACCCTGGTTGCATAACTCTTTGCATATACGGAAAACTAACCATATAGTACTTTAAATGGGTTACTTGTATGGTATGTCAATTATATATCAATAAAGTTGTTATAAACAGGGAGGTGAGGGGCTGGGGATTTAGCTCAGCGGCAAAAGCGCCTGCCTGGCAAGCACAAGGTCGTGAGTTCGGTTCCTGGTACCGGAGAAAAACCAAAAACCAAAAAACAAAAATAAAAAATAAAAAGGGAGGTGATGTTATGGGTGGTAGACTGTGAATTTTTAATAATTCTAGGTGCCCTAATGGTGATGTGGTTGTCATCCATTTCAGCAGACAAAAATGGATGACAGCTGCAAGAGCTAAAAGGAACCCACATTTTAAGCAGGAAAATGACTTGATTATATTGATTTGCGGGTAAAGTGAATAGATGGATTTAAAAGATTTTTAGCTGATAAAAGCTAAGGAATTTGGTGACTGAATAGATATCAGAGGACAAAGAATTTAAAGGCTCAAAGGTGGGGAGAATTATAGAAAAAGAGGTAAAGGCAGCCTCTCTACAGTTAGTTTTGCATACACTGAGGGGAAGGAATGTTTCTGTAGAATATCTAGGGGCATAAATCTGGTAGACAAATGGTGTCTGGAGAGCTCAGCCAACAGACCAGGCCTACATATGCACCTGGAAGTTATCAGTGTATAATGATGATCACTGAGGCCAGGGGAATGAATGACACTGCATAAAGGGAGATGAGCTGGTCATAGTGGTGCATACTTGTAATCCCAGGACTCTAGCAGACAGAAGGCAAGAGGATTCCAAGTTTGAACCTAGCCTAGATAACATATAGAGGCCCTCATTTTTTTTTTTTTAAGGCAAAGTCTCACTATGTAGTTCAGGCTGGCCTTTTTTTGTTTTTTTTTTTTAAAGGCAAAGTCTCATTATGTATCCCAAGGTGGCCTCAAACTTGCAGCAATCCTCCTGCCTCAGCCTCCAGAGTACTGAGATTACATGTGTGTACCACCATGCCCAATGAAAACCTCAAAATTTCAAAGGTAAAATAAAATTTAAAAAGTAAAGTAAAATTTTAAAAAAGAATGGAAAGATTTAAAAACTGAACTCTGGAGTACACTATTGCTCAAGGGCAGACAAGAAGAAAAGGGTATGACACAACGAGAAAAATGGAAGGAGAGAAGAATCAGAGAGGCAAACACAATCAGTTTCTCCCAAAGCATACCTGAACTACTCGCTCATGGGTGGTAAGGACCGAGTCCAGGAACATTTTGCTGCCTTGGTCCTGCAGGTGAAACACTTCCATGGTTTTGGTGGGCATTGCATAACTGTGGGAGAAGGATCAGCTGTTAGAGTGGTCACACAAGCCAGCAGCACCACTATGTGTAGTAGCCCTAAAATCTAGGGGATGCTTAGCTACATGCAGCCAGAAGCAAAGTAACCAGATCCCCTCTACCTCCTCCAGAAGTCTCTAAATTGAGAGGGAACAGACCATGTCTACCACCTTTCTGTAGGCCTACACATGTTTAATACAATACACCAAATAAAATTGAGTAATTAATAAACATTTGCAGCCCTTGAAGAACAGTCATTTCTAAAGTAATCAACTCCATCACTTGGTATACTTTAGAGCCTAACCTTGGTATTTCACTTGCTCTGGAAAAATAAGGTATAAAACCCAATTGTTCCAGAACAGGAGTTCTCAACCTCATGCTATTGACATCCCAACCAGATAATTCTCTGTTGTGGGGGCTGGTCTGTACACCTGGCCTCTACACACTGGATGCCACTGGTATTCCCAAGTGATGACAATCAAAATTTTCTCTACACATTCTCTTAGTCATCTGGGTGGTGATCTATGGTTGAGAATCTGTGCTTACTATAATTAGCTTCAGCAGACACACATGCTGCAGTGAGAACACTGGACTTGGAGCCAAGTATTGGCCCTGCCATTTATTAAGTCACCCTCCTCTCTGGACCTCAGATTCTTCATGTATAAATGAAATTATAGTCTGGGCCCATATCAATACACAAGTGTGAGGATTGGAGGTGGTGAGAGGACTGAACTAATAGGTACAGGCTGTGTTAATCTCACAAAAAGTTTATCAAATTAAAGATAAAAATAATAATAATGACAAAAGAGTCCTGATTTTTTTAGGCCTCACAAAGTTTCCTCATTTAATAGCAAGGAGAATGAATCTCTGTAGATAGAGCTCTGCAAAGGTAAGTGTAGTATAACAGAAAGTGGGTTAGAAATGTGATGGCCCTTGATTTGCACACTGACTCTGTTTGTTTCCTACTTGAACTTGGACAATTAATTCAGCACTGTGTCTCAGTTTCTTTGGTTATAAAATGAGAATAATAATAACTAGTTCACAGGGTTATTGCAATGACTGGACTAGATTATGTCAGTAATTTGTGTGGTACATATTCTTTTGCCCTTGTAAATAGTAAATGTTGGGTATTGTGCTTTCAGGTAGCCTCTCATAGATACACACACACACACACACACACACACACGCACACTTTGGTCTTTTTGAGACAGGGTCTCACTATGCAGTTCAGGCTGGCCTTGAGCTCACTTTGTAACCCAGGCTGGCCTCGAACTTGCAATGATTCTCCCGCCTCAGCCTTGTGAGTGCTAGGATTACAGGCATACACCACCACGCCCAGTCCTAGCCTAACTAACTAACACCCACTTCCACTTTTCTACACAATCTCTGATTCCCTCTTCTTGCAATTCAAATACAGTTGATAAGTTCCTCATATAACAGTGAGAACACAACCATAGAGTTCTTATAGAGAATCAAATAATTATGTAAAAGCTTTCAAAACAGTAAAAAAGTGCTCCAAGTCAGGTGGGGTGATGCACACCTGTAGTCCCAGCACTTGGAAGGCTGAGGCAGGACAATTGCCAGGAGTTGGAGGCCAGACTGGGTTCCATAGTGAGTTCAAGGCCTGCCTGAACTACAAAATGAGACCCTGCTAACAGCCTGTCAGTCCTAAGTACTCTGGAGGCAAACGCAGTGTGTACTTTCAAGGAGCTCACTGAAAGTGTTTCAGAGAGGGTAAGTGCACAAATATCTGCACCTCAGCAAAACAAAGACGGTCATAGTATGTGCGTGAACGTGTAGAGAAGAGGGGCTCAAGAAAACTTCACAGGTGAGGTAGTGATTTTTCAAGCGGCAGAGAATAAGTACAGCTGCTTGCCTGGAGAGTGTTCCAAGAAAGTGCAGCAATATTTGAATATTTGCAAAGGCAAGAGGGGCCCTTAAAGAGCTAACAGAAAATTAGACACAGTTGGATGAAGAAATATAGGGAACTCTGGCCATTATTTTTTAGTTCAAAACCCTATATTTTTGACCATATAACTTATGTTTCCACATGATAAAACAAGTGACAGTTTTTATTTTTATTTTTTTGTCTTTTTGAGACAGGGTCTCACTATGCAGTTTAGGCTGGCCTCGAATTTGCAGTGATCCTCCTACCTCAGCCTCCCAAGTGCTGGGATTACAGGCATGCGCCACAACACCCAGCTCTTAGTGATAGTTTAAATTAGTGTCAACAGATAAACTCCATGAAAGGAAAGTTTGTGCTATCTGATGAATTACAGTATGTTATGGTTAAATATATCTGCTTTTTAATATTCCTGGCATCTAGGATGAAATAAATCTTCTTTTAATCAATTTTATTGGTACATTTTAGATATACATAGTAATTACATTCATTATAGAAAATTTGTACCTGTACATGATATAACTTGATTCATTTTTTCCCATTCCCCTATCCTCTCTTCAACGAAAAAAAAATCTTTAAATATACATCATGGGGAGCGCCGGCCCTTTGGGGCCCAGCGCACCCGGCCACGCAGGCACCCTGGGAGGCAGGCAGGCTGCAGGCTCTGGTGCCGGGAGGCTGCGCGGCTGGGGAGTGCGGGCCTTTCAGGGCCCAGTGCACCTAGCCGCGCAGGTGCCTGGAAAGGCAGGCAGCAGGCACCCGCGAAGGAGCATGGAGATGTGCGCCAGCCCTAGGGCCGGCCACTGCCCAAGAAACGCCATGCCGTGGAGAAGCACTGACACAATAGGCCCTCCCAGAGACATGCATTTCCTCTGGGAAAACATGCCACACAGTGGGTCGCTCTTGGCCCTGCCCTTGAGAGCCAGAAAGGTCCGGAGTCAGTGGAGGAGCAGCTGAAAAACAAGGACTCGGTGAACACAAGAGTACTGACGCCCGACGACTCAGAGGTCAAGCTGACTGGGGACGCGGGAGCCATTCCAGAGCTGGAAACCAGGAGGACCTTGTGCAATACCTGGGGAGATCCCCTGGAGGCCATTCTTTCCCTAACTGTACAGGCTGTGGTGGAGAAGCGAGTGCAGCTCTAGAGAGGTCTGCACCGAGATTTCATGGATTACATGGGTGCCCAAGATTCAGATTCTGTAGAACCACTTTGATGGAGAAGGTACATGTCTAGGATACCTGCCTAGGACACTTTGCACCTGATGGTGCTGAGACTTCATCCACATGTTCCTGCCACCTGTGTTGATGGTTGGGGAGAGGACACTAAGTGGTCACGGGATTCCAATGTGCTAGGAGGTTGGAGAGAACACCTCTCTGCTTTCTTAGACAAGAGGGACAAACTGTTCTTAAAGATAAGTTTATTACTCAGTCAGCCCCAAATAGTAGAAAAAAGCTACAAAAAATGGCTTTTGCCCCAGATAGCTCACTTGAGATATTAGTAAGATTTGCCTCCTTAGTTTTTTATAGCCGTGAGGAGGAGGCGGCCAAGGAGAGAAAACAAAGAGATCAAGAAAAAGCAGCTGCCTTTGTTGCAGCACAAAGAGAAACAGACCCTAAGTCTGATTCTTGGGCCCCCAAGAAGAACTTGTCGACTACGTTCACCTGCTACTGCTGTCCAAAGCCAGGCCATCTCAAGAGGGACTGCCCTAAGCAGCCCCCTGGGCCTTGCCCTGACTGTAATGGTGACCACTAGAGGTCGGACTGCCCTCTGAAGCAAAGGCTCCAGAGCTCAAACCCCTCCTACCAGCTGGTCCAACAGGAATGAGGGGGCCCTAGGGCATACTCTGCCTTCTCCCTCTGGCCAGACCATTATCTTCAAGGAAGACCCCCATGTAATCATGACTATAGAGGAAAAAGGAAACAGCCTATTGCTGGACACTGGTGCTAGTCTCTCGGTTCTTCTTTTCAATCCTGGCCTTCCTTCCAGCTGTCACATCTCAGTGAAAAGAGTCACTGATGAGGAGGTAATCTGCTATTTTTCACAACCCTTGGGCTGTAACTACTTGTTAGATCTTTCTTGCATATCTTTGTTTTCCTGAGAAACCACTTTGAAGATACCAACATGTATTACAGCAGCCATTGGTAATTTCCTACCAATCTGTCCATAACTCTGTAATGTTTTTATTGTTCCTGTGCTATTTTGTAAATGGGTGTATGTTTATTACTATGTGTTTTCAACAACAACCATTGAGAATAGTCAATGATTATTTAATTGATCACTCATGTATAGCTCTATTTGTTTACCCTAGAAACCACTTTGAAGAAACCAAAGTATAGTACAACAACCATTGATAATTTCCTACCATTTTTGCCTGTAACTCACTATTATTTGTCTATTTGTTTTCCTGAGAAACTATCTTGAAGATACCAATAAGTAAAATAACAACCATTGATAATGCCCTACCACTTTGTCTGTAATTCAGTAAATCCCATTACTATGTTATCCTTCTTTTACTCTTTTAAATAAATTTAAAAAATATACATCTCATGTAGGTAACAGCTTTTTTGCATATTTCTCTTCAAAAAATATTTTATAGCAGTATATAAATAGGTTACCTACACATATAATTTTATAATTTTGCCCTAAAACTATAGATCTGTTTCATTTTTATAACATATCTTTTTTTTTTTTTTTTAAAGACAGGGTCTTGCTGTGTAGTACAGAGTGACCTTAAGTTCACTATGTAGCCCAGCCTGGCCTCAAACTTGTGGTGATCCTCTCACCTTAGCCTCCTAAGAGCTGGGATTAGTCAGGTACCACCCCCCCAACTAACATATCAATTTTTGTCCAACATTAATGAAGCTGACAAACTGTTGAAATGGAAATGTCTTCCATAATAGAAACAGCAATCTGACAGGGGAAAAAAACCTCTACACAAACACTATTGGGCCTACTGAAATTAGCAGCTGTTTCCTTCACATATGCTAACATCCACATCACCTCTGCACACATGCACACGTTGAGCACACCCGTTCAGATGTCGGTAGGCCACACTGTGCTTCCCACTGCTCTGATTATTGGGAAGCAGTG